TATTTCCCCGGCCTCGGCTGTTCAGCCTTCCATTGATTTTCAAACACCTGGCACGTCTGCTCCAGCTCCTGCCTCTGACAAACCAGGCATGTCTTCCCCTGGCGCCTCAAGGTCCAATAGTACTCTGGGATCACGGAAGTATCTGACGAAATCACAAGAGGCCAAATTACGACTCCAGGGCCAAGGAGGAGCTGCCATTCTGCCAACTCGGCCAGGCGATGCCTTCGTTTTCGGCCTGGCTCCTGTCTTTGTCTACACTCAAGAGAGGACAACACCACGCCCACCACCTTCGACCGAATTGTTGGACTTGGATCCAAACTCCCCACGTGCAAGGGGTTTATGTCGCAAGTACAATATCAAGGTTGTGTCTGATGACAGCATTGGTGATCGCACGGGCGTGGTAGCCGAGGTCGTTCAGGCAATTGGCAAAGTGTGGGAAAGAGCTATGGACCCCGAGGCTTCATCCGACCCTTCGATTAGGAATTTGCAGGCCGCCTTTGATAAATTGTTGACGAGGGGAGATGAGTTTACCGAGATGGATCATATGGACCTGGTTCGTCATAGCGAAATTCACCAGGAGGCACTCAGATCCCTGCCTGACAGCATAGTGACAACGAGCCATTATCGGTATGTTTTGGCCACCTTGAGGAGGGAGAAAGACCGGTTGCGTGAACAAATCGATTCAGACCGTGATCTGGTTGCAGCAATGGACGCTACTTTAGAAGGACTACGGCCATTCATCCCAGACAAGATCCCAGACAAGGGGAAGGGGAGGGACAAAAGGGATGGACCAGGGTTTAAGTAGAAGATTAGATCACAAGACCGAGGTTGGTTCGCTATGTAGTTTGCACCCGGGCACGGTTGAAGATACCCGCTGCCGGATAGTGCTCACATTTAATTGGTCGTAAGACAAGCCTCCCGGCTCAATTAGTCAAACGAACACCTTTTCAACCCTTGCCTTTCATGATAGGAAAACATGATGAACTACGAAGTGACACTGCTGAAACCGGACACAGACTAACATCATTGAACATGCTATGTATTTCGCACCCAGGCATGAATGACTAACATCATTAAACATGATAGGTTTAACTGACGAATGAAACTTTCTTGGACTGGGTGGAACGACACTTTCTTCAGCAATCTTTTTCGACCGTTCTCGGGTTACTATACCGAGTTCCCTGTAGAAGGGATCCTC